AAGTTTTTACAATTTTGTTAATAATGGTGAATTATTCAAATGTTGAAATGGCGGAAATGCATTACGTATATGGCCTTGCCGACGGTAATGGTGAGCAAGCCAGACGGATTTATCACCAGAGATACCCCGATCGTGCTTTGCCAGATAGTCGAACCTTTTCTAATATTCATCGTCGTCTTGTTGAAACTGGTTCTGTCCGAAAAAGAACATCTGAAGGTAGACCTCTAAGTGTGAGAACACCTAAAATTGAGGAAGTACTGCTGCAAGAAGTCGAAGAACATCCTGAAACGAGTACGAGGAAGATCGCTAGACACTTAAATATTTGCCATCAAATTGTTTGGAGAATTTTAGTGGATTTTCTGTTATATCCTGAATGGCCACCAAGGTCCCCAGACCTCAACAGTTTAGATTTCTTTTTGTGGGTCTATCTTGAGACACTAGTGTACACAAGTCCCATTAACACTGTAGAGGAATTCAGAAAAAGAATAGTTGCAGCTTGTGATAGAATAAAAATCACTCCAGGGATATTTCAACGAGTGCACAAGTCCATGAGAAGGAGGGCGGAAGCATGCATACTAAGTGAAGGTGGCCATTTTCAACAATTTTTGAGATCATTTCGTTGGCTTTAATGTTATGTTTATGTTGTCAGTTGTTGTTGTTCATTACCCCTAATGTATTTAATTTTTCCAATTAAATTAATAATAATTTTGCAAGTTAGACAATAGATCAGTTTTTATTTTTTTACTCAAAAATGGAGCATCAAAGGAAAGCAACTCAAGAGAGACCATTTGTTTTGAATTGAACGAGGAATTCAAAAATAATTTATATTTGGCAAAAACCATTGGCGTACCATTATTTTCTTAAACATATCGAAGTCAATATCCGTACGTACGCCACTGTTGAAGCTAAAAAATATTTTTGCATTGGAAACTATGCAACTTTAGTAACTTTTACTACGTACTAAATATCAGTGAAATATCTGAAGCGGTTCTGAAAATATTAATTAATTTCAATTTTTTCCTTAAAACTTCAACACCCCGAGTTTTTGTAAGGAAACATTTTTGAACCATAGTTTATAAAGCAAACTAACGTTAATTTTTCATGTTGATTTACACCCTTAAATATTCGCATATCATTTAGAAATACCCTGTATAAATGCTATTAGATACTTAGTACTTGTTTCGGACCATATAAAAAATGAAAGTTAATGGTTTTTCAAAAACGAACTGTCAAGACAAAACTTAAGAACACCATCTTGCAGTGCCTAGTAAATGCCAATGGAAAATTTTTATTAGTATTCTGATATTTCTTAAAATAAAGTTAGAAAAAATAAAAACGTGTTAGCCATATTTTTGCCTTTCCCAAATACCTCAGTAAGCCATGAAATTTTTACAAGTTTCTCGACGGCATGTAAATACGCCTCAAAGAACCTAATTTAACCTTAACTGTATCTCCTACATGTATCCTTGGATACATACGGGCTCAATATCAAACATTGCCTCTATTTTGATCTCGATCGATTATTCTAAAGCTTTCGACGTATTTTGAAAGCAAAGGAAAAAGAACAATTCATACTTATATGTTCTAGCATATTTGTAGAATTTAATTAACGGAGTAATAAACCTTGACGTATACATTATAAGATATTATTATGTAACTATAACCAATTACAACACACATTCTTTCAAATAGCATCTTTCGTTAGTTAGTTTGTACTTGTAGAATCATGAATAAAAATCATGGTTTTTTTGCAAGTACTTCATAAGCACCGTCATGGTCTAATCAACAGTGACGGATTGTAAAAAATATACAGGAGAAGGCACAGGCGTGTCTGATCATTTTTAAAACAGGGAATACAACATTGACTATACTACAACTATTTAAAACTGTAATGACTCATACGCGTGATCAACACGTGATCAGAGCTTGATCCCGGCTTCCTTCCAGTACAGCCGTATAGCGTACGACATATGTCGTTTCTCTGTGGCTTTGCGGTGGTCAACAGCACAGACAGAGATGGAAATAATGGCTGATTGTTCTCCGCAGGTAGAACCAATGAAATCAAAGAAGCGCCTCGACCGGCAGACTCATAGGCGTCGGCAACGCATTGGAACGTGTTTCGTTGAGCGATCGCATATTGTGTGTTTTTATAAGAATTGTTGTGTGATTGTTATTGTTGTGGTTCTGTGGT